TGTGAAGTTCATAAGGTCAAAGGTACAATTTTATTAGGTCAGAGGTGATATAAATAAAATCTTATATGTCAAAGAAGAAGGGTCACAGACAAGGTGTACATAATATAAAGACATCACAGTTGACAAGTAATAACTTTAAGTAAAACAAGTATGTTTACCATACATAACTTCACTGATTAAAAATGAAACTTCCATGTGAGTAACAGAAAATTGCCTTTCTATATCACATAATTCATATGCTATATGGCACACTTGTTTTCAGGAAGAAGGGGCAATAACCAAGAATAACTACATGAATTAAGTAAGAACTTTAAGAAAATTTAACTCATTCAAACGGAAACAGTACACAAAATGAACACACCAATCATATCTCAAACCACAATGGCTAAACATCAGACTGCTATGATAGCTACAAAAATTAGATAATGTTGCATAGTTTTCTTCCAAAGTGCATGGATCCAACATTATTTATTTTTCACCATTTCTCATTGAAATAAAAACACACAAAGTTTATATTTCAGTTTACATAATAGCATACTCCAGAAAATTTTCAAATAACGTTTTTGTAAAGTAAATAATATATTTAGTTCTTTTATTAAGGGAACTTAATTACAAATATTTTTATAAACCAAAGAATTTCCTTTATAATGGCAATTATTACATTATAATTAATTGAGGTAATTTAGGATTTTTTTCAAAGTAGAGCATACCTACACATGACTCTAGTTCTAAACAGCAAACTGAAGTAGAATATGGGGGTACATCAAGAAAGACTCAAGTAAAAAAAAATTCTATATCCCTCTCTCTTAAAATACTCATACAATTTGAGTAAAAGGCAAAAAATTATTTGAGGTAAACTAAATAATTAGTTCCATGTTCCATTTCGTTTGTATTAAAAGTACCTAATATTACGAAGGAAAAATTTGGAGGCCAACTCCAACGATACCTTTAAGCCATTCTGTATAACCTTTCAGTTCAATTCAACTCAACTCAATGGGCATTTATTAAAACCTTAACATGTGTCAAGTATTATATCAAACATGGGTGTATAGAAATCAAACAATGAAGACTTTCAATTCCAGGTACATTGAACGAACTTGTACTGGACTAATCTTCCAACTCCAAAAGCTGCACAAAATACACAAAGTAACCATATGAAGGGATTAAAGAAGAGCCAACACAGACAAGACTTGAAAGACCATTGATCCCTAAAAGAAGGGAAGTACATGAAGTGAGCTCCACATTCACTCTAGGTTCTTCCTTATAAGTTTACGCCAATTTCTGGCATGGGAGGATAGTGCAAGCTGAAAGTGGCAGTCTTAGTGAGCTGAGGAAACAGAATTTGAAGTTGAGAATTGTCAAAGTGGTTAGAACTTTAGGGGCAAAATTCCTCAAAGGAAGAAATCACAGAGAAGTGAACCCAAATAATGGTGCAGAATTTCCCCTCAAGCATTGGTCATATCCAGAAACCCAGTGAAAACAGCATATTCATCCCTTCTGCCTAGATAAAATTTATTAAGAAACCAACCACAGAATTACACCTGCTTCCTGATGGCATCCAATCCAGAGCAAAGCCTCATCGCCTGGAACCTTCCCCCAAATCACTGAGCACAAACCAAATTCTGTAAGTCCTTTCAAATATGTTCTTATTGAAAATCTCCACAATTCTCCATGGTGTGTATTTTCTCTTCTTTTAACAAGTCAATAAACACAATTTTATTCAACTATAGATGTGTTCCTGATAGTCTTTGCCTGGAGGACATTGACGAAAAGCTAAGAAAAATAATTAACTACAGCTTCACATAAACTCAATCTCACAGACTTGAGCATGAATGAAAGACATCAGACACAACAGAACACATGCTGTATGGTACCATTTATAGGAGGTTCAAGAACAGGCAAGATGAAGAGATGGTGTGAAAGTCAGAGAGGAGTTATCTTTTGGAGACATAAATGGGAAGGTGCATAAGTGGAGCATTTAGGATATAAGAAATGATCTACATCATGATCTGGGTGGTTTTATATCAATGTATACATATGTAAAAATTTATTAGCTATATATCTGAGATTTGTGTACTAATGTATGGCATACTTCAAAAAAAAAAAGTTACACATACACATGCACCTATACACAGGTACTGCCATCAAAGAACCCATAATAATCTTGCCTGAGCATCTTAAGAGATGACTGACAAATATGAATTTCCCTTTCTTGAGTAGCTTTAGAAATTTTCTATTATAAATAGGATTTATTTATAATATTCATAGATTATCTAGCTATGTCATCCAAGTCTCAATAACAGTTACATCAAAAAAACTTATAAACATATTTAAACAAATCTAAATTCCATGTAAACAATTATTATAGGTGAGTAAGTTTGCATTTCCCAAAATTTCTAAATGGTTTATTTATCCAAAATTATCCTATTATATAAAATTTATATTGTTGACTGTTTACCAAGAAATCCGGTACATCACTGAGTAAGTAATTCTTTTCCTGTATTATTATCAATTTTCCATAACCTTTTATTGTACAGAAATTATATAAATAACATTAAATTCTTTCTATATTTCTTAAATTAATATATATACTAAAATAATATTTGTACACTATATTGTAGTAGTTATTAAGTGCTAAATATAGTCTTAAATAATCATAGAAATAATATATAAAAATAGAATTCTTTATAATAAAAGAGCACATTCTAGGTACTCAATAAATAACTGTAAATGAACAAAAGTAAAGCTTACCACTTCTTCATCTGAAAGTTCACGCCCTTGGATGCTGCTATTTTCTCTCACAGCTTGCTGGTGTTTTTTCCCTTTAATGTGGCTAAAAAGATATACCTCTGAAGAGATCTAAAAGCGTAAAATCAAAGCAATGTAATTAACTAACATTATATCTAATTTTAAATATTACACATTCAATCCAATATACTACATGCAAATTTAGATCACTCTAGTGTTTACATTTAGTCTTTAAAGTATTTTCCTTAGAAAACAATGCTGAGAATCCTCTAGAAGACACATGGTCAAAAGAAAGCATGCCATTCATCACGGCCAGCCTAAAAGAAAATTATTTCCCCAAGTTTGAAGGTTCAAATCTCAGCACTGAAAATGCTGCTTTCCTTTTTAGTTCTAATACCCAAAAATATTGACTTAGGCTATCATTAAGCAGGTAAACATTCATTTTAGTAGCAACTGCATTCTTTAGCACTTTGTACGACTATTCCTAAATGCTAATATCATTTGTACTACTTACTTTTCATTCAAAATAATTCATGGCAAAAAGAAATCTATGGCACTTAGCAGGCACCTTAGCATGAGTTTTAAAAGGCTAGCAGAATAAATTTCCATGGTTTCATAAACTTTAGTAATAAATTACAATATATCATCAAGATATTGAAAATGACAAGTTACCAGGACATTGCAGAGAGAACACTGCTTCTTTCTTTCATAAGGGGTCAGTTTAGGGGCATAATCAGTATTTGCATGTCGTCCACTGCTTAACTCAGCAGCTTTTTCTTTTCTTTGTTCAATCTGTTCCATGTGTCTTCGAATGCTTTCATCATGCTGTAGATGAAGTCAAAGAGCAGGAATTTCAAAAATTATTCAAATTATACTGAGAACTTGGAAAATATTTCCATGAAAACTTTTAAAATAATAGAGGAACGTCTTATTTCCATATTAACTTGCACACTGAAGACAAGGGTTTACATAAAGCCCTTTAACATCTCCCACATGCAAAGTAATGTTTCCTGAAGCGTACTCTAAGAGATGTTAGTAAGCGTTTTGTGGAAGAGGTTCCACGGAACAAATAAATTTGGAAAATAGTAAGTTAAAGCCAAACAGGTTTTTAACATAGAACTTTATACAGTCTTTAGTATGTCACTGTGCTCTACAACTCAACAAATCTAGCTTATAATAAGCAGCATTTTACAAATTATTTGCCCACAACACACTTTCGAGAAGCACTTCCTTGAACACATCGTGCAAAATGTTAAGCCACAGGTAAAGCCCACATTTACCAACATAGCAGACAAGGTTCATCATGACACAGACCTCTATTAATGATATCTACCCCAACTCCATTTCTACAACTCCAGTGACTTTCCCAGAAAAGAAAAAAAACTAGTTTAGACCCTTGTGCTGGAGTGGCATCCCACTTACCTACACATTTTCCTACCCAACCAACTCATTCTTCTTTCAAGATCCAGCTCAGGAACTGTTCTCAAAAATTACTTCCCTGACCTCTGACACCCTCATGTTAGACTAAGTGTCCTCTTCTGTGCTTTCATACATAGCACTCAATGTATACCTCTATGTATATGGAAATTCTCTGGTTAGGATCTGAATCTCACACTAGATTATGAGTTTCTTGAAAACTGGAATCATGTCTTACCCATCTCTGTATCCCACTGCCTACCATAAAGCTCTATTAATATTTTGATGCATTAAATTTAAATGAATGGCACATTTTTAGGACTGTACAAATAGTAAAATATGGTCCTCTACCTTAAGGCTACACTATTCCTATGAGGAGCCAGCATGTAAATAACTGTGATATAATGTGAAATATTCATATTGCTAGGGACTGCCTATATGTCGTAATAGTAAAAATTTTCTAGAAAAAGTGAGTTTATCATATCTCCCAAGCTATAATTATGCAATTGATAAGCATTTAAATCAAGTGAGACAAATAAGAAATATCTTTTAGTTTGCTTTTAAATGATTAAAACCTGTAAATATCAGAACCCTAGCAGTAATGACTTTAAGTCATTAATGAATTGCTTAGTAAAAATAGGAAACATTGAACTTCCTTTAATTTTTTTTCCTCAATGGCTCTCTCTACTTTACCAAAGTAAATTTGGTTTCCAGATGTTGAGTTAGAAATGATCGTAAGCCAAATCATATAAGCCTTGTTGTCCAAAGATTAGAATACAGATTAATTCAATTTTTTGTTCTATAGATAAAATGTGAATCTCACACACCATTGCAAACCCTAAAATGTCAAATTAAAACTGTATAATATCCCTACCTTGAGCTGGATTTTTTTCTGTAGCTCTTCCATGGCTTCTTGCTGAGCAGCTGTGAGTGCTGCCAATCGTTCTTCCCTGTCTCTGTGAGAAGACAGGAAAAATTATAAACTCAACTTCCTAAAGTAAAATATCTTATGAGGTTTAAAATTACAATTAGAATGCACAGGCCCATGTATTCTAAAGGGCTGTTATTAATATTTTAAAAATTATTATTTTCTGAAGATTTATTAAGTTCCAAATATATTGCTCATTAAATGTTTGGGAAGCAATAGAAATTATTAGCTATGAAATGGGTTTAAATATTAGCACCAAGATTGTCACTTAAATATGACATGTTTAAAACATACATTTATCTCTGTTCCCCTACAAAAACCCACTAAAACTAAAAGAAAAGAATAGAAAAGGCACAAACTCACAAAGACAAAGAGAATAGGAGAAGAAATAATCACAAAAGATGGACACCAGTATTTCAGAAACCGAAAAGCAATCCTGAGAAAGCTGAAATCTAAGCTTTCAGGGAGAAACTAATAAACAAGGTAATTCTACCAGCAGAATTCCATAAAAGCTCAGAAACTGGAGAAACTATTCACTTATGAAAGAAGGGATAAAGGCTAGGGATGAAAACAAGCAGATTGGTAAAGCCTTTAAAGACCAGCAAGTCTCACCTCCCCACTGTGGCAGAAGGCTGGGAAATTACTCTCTAGGGGGGCTGAACAGACCAACCCTGCATTCAAGACAGAAGGCAAATCGGAGGTGAGATAATATACATAAAATAGGAAGTTTAAGTGAAAATCTACATACTGAAATGGTGAGATATTAATGACCAGGTTTATACACCACTTCCCCCAGGACCCCCAAAGAAAATTCCTCTCTTGGAGGAGTTCAAGAAAAAGGCCAACAGAAAGAAAGTTCGGCGGAGGTGGGGATCCTCCAAATAAATGGCCAGTTCCCTGTAGATGACCTGAGAGTGAGTCTCATTATGCAGAAAGTCCTCCTAACAAAGTTAGAGCTCTCAAAGAGCTTCTGAGTGCCTCACTCTTAAAATGAATATAGAGCCAATGATCATCAGATATTTAAAAAAAAAAATTCTAACGTGAAGACAGAGACCAAAACCAACACATGAAAGTGATGCAAAAGAAAAGAGAAAAATAGGCTGGGCACCATGGCTCATGGCTCACGCCTGTAATCCCAGCACTTTGGGAGGCCAAGGCGGGAGGATGGCTTGAGGCCAAGAGTTCTAGACCAGCCTGGGCAACAAAGCAAGACTCCATCTCTACAAAAAATAATAAAAAATTAGCTGGGTATGGTGGCACATGCCTATATTCCCAGCTATTCCAGAGGCTGAGGTGGGAGGATTACCTCCCAGGAGGTGAGGTTGCAGTGAGCTATGTTAGCATTACTGCACACCAGCCTGGGTGACAGAATGAGACCTGTCTCAAAAACAACCAAAAAAAAAAGAAAAGAAAAAAATATAAGAAGCAAAAGAAACTATAATTAACATCTTCAGGTGAATAAGAGAATATGTTGTACCCATGAAACAAGAACAGAATGCTATTTTTAGAAAGGAATAATCACGGAAAGGAGCATTTATAAATATACGTAAAGAGAAAATTTTTAAAATCATTAAAAAAGATAAAAAATAAAAACAAAAAAGTCTTTTAGCAAGTAGAATAAAAATTCATAAAAGTGGAAAACAGAGGTGAAAGGATAAGAATATCAGAAGCTTAAACTCAGGAAATGCAAGATCTGCTAATAAGGGATTTCAGAAAAAAAAGGAAAAAATGGGATGGAGGAAATCAAATATTTAAAAAATCAAAAATACTTCTCGAAACCAAGGGGCATGAGTTTCCAGACTGAAAGAGCCCACTGTCACAATAAACACAAACGTAAAGATACATCATCTTGAAACCGAAATTCCAAATCACCTGGTATAGAGGTTTCTGAGGATTAAAAACAAGTCATATATAAAGAAACAGGAAGTATGAAAATGGACTTCGTAATAGCAACACTAGGAGCTAGAAGACGAAGACTGTCTTCAAAATTATGAGGGAAATGATTTTCAATCTAGTATTCTAGCCTGATCAAATGGGAGGCAGAATAAACCGTTTTCAGATCATTTGCACTATCTCAAAAAAAATAAAAAAAATTAGCTCCCATGAATGGTTTCTCTGCAAGCTACTCAAGAATATGTTCTATCAAACTAAGAATTTATTCAGAAAAAGAAAGAAATGTAAAACCATAACAAACACTTCAACACAGAACAGCGGTGAAAAGAAGTTCTAGGATAACAACTCTGCAACAGATCTAAAGAATAATCAACCCAGACTGAAGCCAAAGGAAAGGAGAATTCAAAGGGATGTCTCCAAGAAGAAAATTAAATTGACAGAATAACTAATATGTTTTAAAATGTTCAGAAATTTTCAGTTCTTTTTGAGTGATTGAGAAGGATTCAGTGACTGTGGCATAGGAAACCAATCAAATTAAAACACAAGGCAATTATTAACTCAGAGACAACAGAAAGCTAAACAACAAAGGGAAATGTAATCAGATTATATTGTATTAAACAGCTCAGGTATAAGTAACAGAGAGTTACAGAATAATGATTTAACCAAATCGAAGATGACGGAAGGGGAACTTGAATATAAAGTAGGGATATGAGAGGTAATACTATTAATAAAACCTCATCTTTCATTGTAGGAAACAGATAATTTATAGAACTGAAAATTCAAGAAATAACAATATATGTATGTTATTCAGAAATATGGAAGTGAATATCAGACAGCTTAAAGACAGATGTCTTTGGCTTAATGAAGCTAAAGTAGTTTGCCCCACGAAAATAGTAATGGAAGGTAGAGAAATATGGGGCCAGGGAATGCTATTCTTTATTATAATAGTAACATACTATTTGGCTTTGTAAATTACACAAATTTTGTTTTGATAAGAATGTTTTTAATTTGAAGAAAACAGCAGGAGTAGGGCTTTTAGCTATGGAGTAGAAGAGACATCAGTGAATCCTCTTCCAAAAAAGGAAATATAAAACAGGACAAAATTGTTAAAAACAAGTATTCAAGACTCTGAAAATCAACCAAAGACAAACAACAAATTTAGAAGCATTTTTTAAATGAAAAACTGCAGAGTTGCTAAAATATATAATCTAAAATGTCCATTTGTCAATAAAAAATTATGAGACATACAAAGAAGTATGGCCACGCTTAGGAAAAAAAGCAATCAATTGAAACTATCTCTGAATGAAGCCATATACTGAATTTAGCACACAAAGATTACTACATGGCTGAACAGCCATTATAAATATGTTTAGAGAATTAAAAGAAAGTATGCCAAAATAATTAGAAAAATATGATGATGATGACTCAAACAGGGAATCTCAACAGAGAAACAGAAACAGTTAAAACAACAACTCCTTCCCAATAAAAGGAACCAGGACTCCTTAAAAAAGTGGCTGATCCTACAGCTGGAACAATAACAACAAAAAAAACCACAAGATGAATATGGATCTAGACAGTGCAATAGGGTAAGAAAAAGAAAATAATGGTATCCACATTAGAAAGTAAGAATTAAATTTAATTCACAGATGCCATGAGCCTTTATGTAAAAGATACTAAGGACCCCCTTACCTCCCAAAAAACCCTACGAAAACTAATATAGATGGTTCCTGGCTTAGATCATTCAACTTACGATTTTTTGACTTTACAATGAGAATATTGGGATATAAACCCATCTTAAGTCAAGGAGCATCTTACTAAGTAAGCAAGTTTAACAAAGTCATTAAAAACAAGATTGTAAAATGAAATATATAAAAAAATCTACTGTATTTCTATATACTGGCAAGAAAAATCCAAAAATGAAACAAAAAAAATAATTCCATTCACAATAGCTTCAAAAAAATATCTAGGAATAAATTTAAGAAAAGAAGTGTAAGATCTGTATGTGAAAAAACTACAAAATGTCAGAAATAAAAGGAGATCTAAACAAACAGAGAGAAACATCTTATTCATGGATTACAATACCCAATATTATAAAGATGGCAATTCTCCCTAGACTGATCTATAGATTCAGTGCAATTCCTATCAAAATCCCTGCAGGCCTGCTTGCAGAAACTGGCAAGCTGACCCTAAAATGTATATGGAAACCCAATTTTGAAAAAGATCAACAAAGTTGGAGAACTTATGCTGAATTCAAAATATGCTATAGAGCTACAGTAATTAAAACAGTGTGGTATTGACACAAGAACAGACATATAGATATCAATATAAAGAACAGAGTCTAGTTTCTATGGTCAATTGATCTTTAACAGCTAGCAAAGAAATTCAAAGGCAAAAAGACAGACTTTTCAGCAAATAGTGCTGTGATAATTGGCTATCTATATGTAAACAAATAAATTTACATCTTTGTCTCATACAATGTACGAAAGTTAAAAGGAATCACAGACCTAAATGTAAGTGCTCAAACTAATATATTTCTTGAAGAAAACATAGGAGAAACTCTTTGTGATTTGGGGTTAGACAAAGATTTCTTCAATATGACATAAAAAGCATTACACAGAAAATAAAAATTTGATACACTGAACTTCAAAATTTTAAACTTTTGTTCTTCAAAGAAATTATTTTAAAAAGAAAAGATAAGCCATAGGCTAAAAATCATATGCTTGAAAATGCAGCACAGACGGCTCAAAATATCAGCGAAGTGTTTAGGAGGGTTGTGGCTAGCATGAACACACAGTACATAAATGGTCTGATAAGTTTCATTCTGGTGATCTGAATCTTGAAAATGAGCCACATTGGTAACCTGAGACCAAGGTGAATAATGATGAGCTAAAGGCTGGAGTAGAAGCGAATCCATCACAACCTATGCATGAATTAGCAGCAAGGTTTGACATTACTATTCCAACAATACTGGACCATTTAAAACAAATTGGCAAGGTAAAGAAGCTGGATAAACAGGTATCACATGAATTAAATGAGCATCCCAAGAGAAATCATCTTGAAGCTTGCCTATCTTCACTGTCACGACAGAAAGGTAAACCGTTTCTACACCGTATTGTTACGTGCGATGAAAAATGG